TCAGAAAGTTTTCTTGATATTTATGACAGGTCCTTACGATTTCTTTTCATAGTGCTGATGGGGAATCAGCCATCTCAGATAGAATTTCAAGTGTGTGTGTCTCAAGGAAGAATTTGCATTTCCTCTCCTGATGTTGGTTGGTTTCTTCTGAGCCATGTGCTTCAGATAGAAAACTTCTTCAGCAGCCATCTTCTGCTGCATTTTTTTATCTCCTTGGGGACCATTAATTGATCACATTTCAACATAAATTTGAATCTGCAGCTTCACATGCCAATATTCCAGGATTACAGGGTATCACCCACTGAAGTGCAAGAAAATTACTTGCTTCAATGCATCAAAATAAACATTTAGTGTATAGTTCATTATGATATTCAACCAAAATTTGAACACATTGACCATACAAATATAAGGATAGCAAAAATATTTATTGGAACATATATTTGTAGGCATGGGAGTATGAGTTATACATGAAAACTTAGTTATAATAATTTTGGTGAACAGCAGTCTGTATTTAACTATACTGATGAGATTCTTTAGCAAAAAGGAAGTCATTATAGAAGAGATATGAGGTGTAGCTTCTGCTCTTTGGAGTACTTTGATGAACTTTATATTTAAAGTTCATTAATTTATTAAAAAAATTGTAATGCTCATTAAAAATAACGGTAGTTTTAAAGATAATATTTTTAAAATTCTTATGCTCATAATTTTGTAGATTTTCCAAGACCTTCAAAAGGACTTGTGGAGGTTTAATTTTTAAACCTTGTTGATTTGCTCCTTTTTATCAATAGAAGCAACTACAAGATTGAGTGGGGAAGCTCAAGTTATCCATTCTTCTCTGTAACGTCACCTAGAAACAATTTCAGTTACCTGACCCTGGCAACCCCATTGTGTGTCAAACCTCTAAATTACCTCACTTTGGCTCTAGCAGGGAGTCTTTCCAACCAGCTGCTATCACCTAGGATATATAACTATGTGAATGAGTCCAGAGAGTTAGGAATGCCCTCCATCCATGTTTTGTGCTTGCCAGACAAAAGCCAGCTGCAGTTGAGACGGCATGAAACTGAGTCCATGTCAACAGGGCACTGAGCCAAAAATAAGGAGCTGAGCTTGAGTCCAGGGCTGTGCCAAAGTATTTACAGGGTTTCTGGACTGCTGGGGGCTTGGATCAGGGAAGGCTGGGCTATGGGTGTCTCTCAGGCCCACCTTGCTGAAGCACCACAAAGAACAGATGAGGAGGGGACAGGCGTTTCAATGAGAGCGCAAGAAGCCAAGACCATCTTAGTTCTTCAAAACCAGAGCAAAAATGAAAGTAATTCCAGTAAGATGAACTTGTGGTTGCAGGAAGGTTAATGACCAAATTCCAGACAGTTTGATATTGGGGGAGATTAATGGCACAAGGTGAGATTTGTGTTGCATGACACAAGCAATACATAATTACTTAGCTATAACATGCCACTTTCATGCTCATGATTGCTTAAGGATTTCTTTAAATTGCTTTTATTTTTCAATGCTCTATTTTTCCAGCTGTCAAATAAATTGCATGATTGATAAAAAATTAGTGGTGCCACTTTGTTGTTACAGGTATTGTACGACAGCATGTGCAAGAAAAAGCTTGCCCTCCTTTGTCAAGGATGTTGACACATACATAAATTGCCATTCTGAAGTCTTTCTTCAGCATTAATACACAGTAAAGCAAATACCAGCACATCAAAAGCCTGCAATCTAATACAATAAATTGCAGTTGTACTATCAATTTTTTGGTAGAAACACTTATTGCTCAGCTAGCTAACATTTAATAGTTTTTTACGAACCTGAGTGACTCACATATAATTTAAAGCTGCACATAATCTCTAAAATAATAGAACAGGAGTATGAACATAGTATTTAGGAACAGAATGAGTAATATATATAGTCAAAAGTATGATAATTACATATAAATAAACTACAGGTAAAAATATGTATAGGCTTAAGAGAACTGCAGTATAAAAATTAAGTATTACATGTCACTCTTATAGTTTGGGAATTATAAAGTCCTTTCATTGCTCACCAAAAGAATATGAAGAATATGAGATTTTTTTTTAATAAAGAAATTGAGTGTTTTGCATTAGCTGCCATCTAAGTTTAGTCATATTACTATTCGTCACAAAATAATCCTGCATGACTTTGACGAGGTAAGGTCTATAGGTGGAAATGGTTTTATTAGACCACCTCAAATAGTTGGAGAGAGCAGACAAAATTTGTTTGGGGACAGATTTGTTTGGGGCAAATAAATCTGCCTGTTATGAGCATCAGATTTAAGGATTGCTTTGAATTCAAGCAATTGCTTTGAATGGGATTTTTCAGTGGTCTTGTAAAAACATCAAGACCATTTGCAAACCTTACCTTGCTTATGACTTTTCACCATCAGAGCTGTGACAACCTAAAGTTCTATACAGGTCAGTTATTTCCAGGGGATAAAAAAGGAATTCCTAAATATTTCTGAATATATGGTGCTTGTCAGAAAAGAAACAAATGCCAATATAAATAAAAGACTGCAAATCTTCCTAGAATTAGGCATAGCATTTACAAGGAGTAATTTGTGGGGAGATTATCCGGGGTATCCCAATTTAGCTAAATGTTGTAAAAACATCAGGGGCATTGTGAGATAGTACAGAACTTAGTATTGCCCAGTTGGAGAGGCTGCCTCATTTCTCCTTCCTCTGTCCACGCCACGTCCTTACCTTGTTAACACCCAGTCCTAATTCTGAAGATATATTGATTTGATTTTTTTTCTCCTTTTCCAGTATCCCAAAGAATATCTGCACAACTAAAGGAGATGGTGATACTTCAGCCATTTATGCTCTTCAGGACAAATTACATTGTAAAGCTTCTTAAAAGTGTTTTATTGCTTATATTTCCAAAATATGATTGATTCATTATATAATCACCCAGAATTTTTCAATTACTGCCCTTGCATACCTCTCAAGGAATGGAACTTATAACAAAGGAGTTTCCTCTTTTTTCCCTTCATTCCTTTCCATCACCCTCCTATATTTTTATATTGTCATGTACTACAAATATGTGTTATAACAACTGTTTCAAGGCCACAGGTTTCAATAGCTGGTATTAGTAGTTTCAGGATAGTCAACAAAATGAGGCTGTTTTTTCCTGGTTCAGGATATGGCTCAACATTGAGGGATATTTTCTGTTACAAGCAACTGGAATTGGTACACATATAAACACTCTCTATCAGTTTGAACAAATATACACCATGATATGTGCAGAAGTATTGTGATTCTCAAAACATAGTAATGATTATTTCTATATTAACTGGATAAATCTAGTAAAAATCAAAATATGAAAGGTAAAATGTAGTCAAATGATTAGATGATAGGTGACTGGTTATTATGTTACATGGCACATTACTGAACATTAAACATAGCTAATATATATAGGTAATTTTTTTAAAAATGTAGTTGTTAAACCTTTAAAAATAAAAATATAAAAGTCTAAATGTTTCAAAATACTAGAAAAAAAAATGCTTTGCTAAAAATCTGGTCTCCATTTCAGCTACTATTCATAATAAATATTCATAATATTTATATTTTGCTCCTTTCATAAAAAAAAACCCTTTGATGCCATACATGCTACATAATTTATTCTGTGTACAGAACAATCTAGAAAAATAACTGTGCATTATTAATAAAAATTATCTATAGTGTCAAGGTTCAGTTAATAAAAATGTAATTTTAAGGTAGCTGCAGCCAGGATATCTACTGATTAGGAACAAGATAGTAAAATAAGTAATTAGGAAATCACACATACTATGTACTGTTAAGAAACAAAAGAAACAGTCATATAGCATACAAAACAAAATGATCTGATAAAATAAATAAATGAGCAGATTGTTTTTCATAATTGCTTAAAACTTTTCCTAAATAAGAAGACTTAGAGCTCCAGAACACACACAAATGGTATCCCACCTGTACAGGTACAGAGTCTTTCCAGGGGGTCTGATATGAAGAGGAAAGGGATAATACAGATTTGTATTTACTGTCTTTGCATTACATGAACTTCCCAGGTTTGGAAACACTAAATCATCCAAGACACCAACAAACTTGGAAGCTTGTTTCTAATTTAACTATTTAGGAAAGTATGACCATGCAGACTGGATTTCTGATTTATACAAAGAATAGGCACCCCTGACAAATGCTCAAGATGAATAGAACTGTATTATTCATCGTATCTAACAGAGATTAAATGGCTTTTGATCACCACCTCCTTATCATAAAAATATATTTACACAATGCCTGTGAACAAGTGTCCTTGTAGCAAAACCTGCTGTTTATTTATACAGGAAAAAATTCTTGCCCCTACTGCACTTCTTCCTCTGGGAGAAGGGAAGTAAACACGCTGGCATTCTTTACATAAAAACAAAAAGAATAAAAAAAAAAAAAAAATCTGAAAGAAACCGCACACTTCTCTTTGGCTTTTTTTTCTTCCTCATTCCTTTGTCCAATTCTTATCTCAGATACGCTCCAAGTGACTAATATAAAAGGAACTCTCAGGGCAAAGACTTGCTAAAGTTAGTGCTGTTCCTATGTAAAACGTACATCAAGCTGTGGACTGACCCTGCACAGTTTATCTCCAGAGAGCCTCTACTGAACAACATCACACTTTTTTTTTTTCTGTGTCTGGTGGTTTAGACTGAAGCTCTTTGAGAACAGAAAAAGGCACACCTCAAAATGTGGCTGTTACTTCATCATGAACACTTCCTAGAGCTGTAGCCTCTTTTATCACTGCCAAAGCTTCACATCCCTCACAAATACAGGAAACAAACTTACAAAATGGTCAGCCTGCACTTTAGGATAATTATCCTTACCTTGATATCCATGTAATATTTACTGTAAGAATATACCTACCTCATGTTATCAGTGCAAAAATTTTACATTTACTTGCATTATTTGTACATACATTAAAGTATACTGATGGCATTAAAAATAAAGAAAATCATGTAATACCTTTACTTTTACCTATGGATTTGGTGAAATGGTTCCATGAAGAAAGCATTTCCAGACAAAAAGAGAATAAAGAAGAGGAGAGAAACAACAGTAAGAGTCATGAGTACATGTAAATGCAATAGTATCTGAACATGAAGAGACAAAGTATAAGGTAAGTGTCTGAAGACAAATGGAGATGCAATCAGTGTCATATTAGGGATTTAGTTTATTTCTTCCCAATCATGTACATGCAGAGAAACACAGAAATAACCCATGCTTAGATAAGAAAGACTGTCACAAAGGTAACATGGACAATGGTTAGGAGGAAAAAAATCACTGGTTTTGTTAGGTAGCAAAATTGTACTCTCAGCATTCCAGAAGCCAGGAGCAGGTGCTTTCTGCACATTTCCAATCAGCCATGCATTAATGCAAATAGACTCTTCAACATGTACAATGTTACAAGAGAAGCATCTTTCAGGAGCTATCTGAAGAGTGGTCTGGCACTTTGTTTATCTTTTATTGGATCACCCATAATTGCATTTTCTGATAAATACACAAATTTTTCTTAATCACTTTCTTATGTCTCTCACCTCTTTTTAGTTATTGTTTTGCAAGAGGGGGAGTTGAGGAGGCAGGAAGGACAAAAGCTTACGGAGCAAACAAAAAAAAAAAAAACCAACAAAAAAACCCCCAAAAAACGAAAAAAGAAAAAGATGCGACTAAAACCATGTGTTTCTTTGCAGCCAAAGACAGCTTTCAAGCATTTGCCCATCGGTTGCAGTGATGGATTCAAAGCAGCTACAGAACAAGAAGAAACAATGAAAGCAGAGTGGAAAAGGAACAGAGCCCATACCTTGGTCGCCCATCATCAGGTGCGCCAGACCTTGAAGGGAAACAAGAGCACAGTCAGCAATGAACAAGGGAGCACGGGAAGGTGGTGTTGTCACACTGACAAAAATGTTTTGTGACAGGCATCTGTTTCCTATAAGATGTCTGTATCACAGAGGGAAATCAAAGAGCATTTTTCAACCACTGGTTGGAATGCTTTGGGCTACAAGTAACAGAACTGCAATTGAAACACCGGGTGCTGTTTTATTGCATTTTTTTTTTTTTCTGTGCGGTATTTGCATTGACAGAAAATAATAAAATGCTTTCAAATCCAACCAATTCCTTTAATAATGCATCTGTCTTTATCATATTTTGATTATATTGCTTTGAACACTTTGCTGAGAGGACTTTCTGTCCTCTACATGTGAAATGATGTTTAAACCCTGGAGAAGTTTAAACCTGAAAAATGGGCTGGGTCTGATCTTTTTCCCCTCATAAAAATGAGCATTTCAGGTAATTAAATAAAATTTATTCATCACATTGAAATGATAATGCAAAGAATGTCTCCTTATTTGTGTGAAATGTGACAGTAGAATGAATTTGTTCCAGAGAAGGCAAATTATTACATATGCAATATAAAATACATAGTAATAAAGAAAATTTAAGTGACAGATTCTTCAATCTGTGAGAAATAGATTTTGCTTTATACTTATATTGTGAGATGAAATCCCATCACAGCAGAATAGGTCTAGTGACATTTCAAAGCAGATGTCCATAATGATAATCACTCATCCAGAGCCAAATTTTGTTTCTCTTCAAGGAAAAATATTCATTATTCATTTTTTTAATTCATGATAATAAAATGATACTTAAATCTCACTGAATATAATGTGATGTTGGGAGAATATTTTTCTTAGATATATGAAGGTTTTTCATTTTTTATGCCTGATTTAAAAAACAGACTTATTCTTGTTGAATTTAGCTGTTTTAGGATCCCTTTCAGGAATTATTGGTTGATCATGTGTTAAATGTGCTCCTCTTCTCAAAAAACCATACATTATTTTCTTAATTGCAATTAATTGAAATTAATTCACACAAAGAAGGTGAGCAATAACATATGCTTCTCTTTATTGGAGAGCAGACTTCCTAGAGAGAAGTTTCTGTGATTTCTAATTCACAACAAAAATTAGGTGCACAAATGACTCACGCTACTTGGGGGTAGTTCAAAGAAGATATTCCTGACTGCAATCAGTCTAAATTATTCTTCTCTTATCAGTTCCAAATCTCAAGTGATGTTCCAAGTAGTCTAACAATGGTTTTGTTGAATTATTGCTTTTTAATGTCACTCGGTTTAGATGTGTAGTTAAACTGAAGGGCCTGATGTGCCTGATCTCCTGTGCAATAAATTCTGTTTCCAAATACAGAGCTCTGCAGCTGGTGGGATTACCTGGGGCTCACAGCAATGTAAATGAAAGCTGACTGTGATCCTGAAGGGATGCCTGCATCAGCATTGCTTGGGAAACATCACACAGCTGAACTGGCAGTTTGCAGCTTGTGAAACAGCACAGAAATGTTTTCATGGGTGTTCTTTCTCTATAAGTGTTGCTGCAAGAGAGGCTTGCTGAATACACAGAATATAAAGACCAGGTGATGTTATTTAATTCATTATTTTAGTGCTTCCTTGGTGTCCTTCCTTGGATCCTCTGCCATGTGGTCTTTGGAAGTTTCAGTCTCTTTTTGTGATTGATTAATTTGTCTTTGGGTTCTAGCTTTTGGTGTTGGCAACTATAGTGATAAATCTCAGACTTTTGACTTGACCCTAATTGTATTTGATAAAGAAAAATTGAAACCAGTTGAACATTGCAACATCTTTTTCTTTAATATCTTTATTTTTTTTAAACCGTGACTTTTCAGCCACTACTTTATGTGAGGTCTTTCAAACAAATCACTGTCCTGTCTCCCAGGGGAATGCAAAAAAAAGTGATCTCTTACTATCTCACATTTATATATGAACTTCATAGTTATATGAACCTAAACAAAAGTCTAGCTTCAGATTACCACTGCTTGATAGCTACTATTTTTGTTAAAATGATACACAAAATTGGTCAGTTGCAAATAGATGACTCTTATATAATTTGAAAAAAAAATGTAAAGAGCAGATGTACCTCTTGAAGACACCATAAAAACTGCTTGAATTTTAAGAGTCACAGTGTTGTTCAATGAAAAAATGCAGTCAAGTGAATGTAAAAGACATACACTGCTCAAACCAAACATCTACCAATTAAAAAATTCAGTACTAATCCTCAAGACACTATATTTTGTTTCACTGTTTCTGTTACTTTATTGCAAGCTGTATGGTCACTTATACTCCCTTGCCTCATCCAGACACATGGTGATACTTACCTTATTTTATATTTTTGCAATTTATGGGTGAAGGCTATTGAAGAGTGAAGCATTACTAATACTGTACCTGTTCATTCCACAGAGGGGTTTAAAATGATACAGCTAAATCTGCCATGAGAGGAATCACTGCTAGATTTGCAAAATGAAAGTCTGCTTTTAATAGACCTGGGAAGTTTTATATTTAAGTAGCCACATATAGGCCTCCCATACATTGAAAATACTCATTTGTGCACCATTACTTAAATTTCTTTGTGAATTAGGAATTCAAGATTTAGAAGGAATCCCTCATGTGTGATCCACTCCAACTCTCTCCTGAACTTGGCTCTCAGAGGAGAGAGTTAAGGAGCACAGAGCGAGATAATGAAAGAGGATATGAAGGTAGGATACCATAGTTTGGTGTGTGAGTTCCATGCAGAGCACAGGCCAAAACAAAATTTAAATGTGATAAACCTGCAGTGAAGGTATTAAAGTGTGGTACAGCTTCAGTAAAATGAAAAAAACCGGTAGCCTTTTTTACCAGCAGTACATACAAAACTGAATATTACATATTTCTATTTGCTTATGTTGCCTAATTTACAGAGATGCTCAGATATCACAGAGATCAAAGATGAAAAATTTTAGCTCACATTTCAAGTAATGCTTTGGTTACACAGTTCTATGCTTCCATTTTACATATTCATGCTTTGTAACTTTAATGTATGCATAAGTATCCAGACCTGTGTTGGAATAAATTTAAGGTTGCAGTTTTAAGAATTAGGTTCAGGTAAAGTCTGGATTAACAGTTATCCAGGTTTTATCTTGTACTGCTGTGCATAAATGAATATGTGAAATGCAATTGAACCTCCTTATCTAGTTATACTGAACCTAATTCAAATTTTGAGACTCATGTTGACACCAGTAAGAGTTTTATGCACAGATCAAATACAAGATTAGGTATTTATTTCTTGGCTTTTATGTTTTTCAGCTAGAATTTCTATTCAGTGTTGCTGAATACATTTTTATCTCACATTGAAAATGAAATTTTATTGATGTGTATGAGCATGACAGTGCCCACAAGTAAAGCAACAGAATTATCTGGATTTTCCTTCTCCTTGGGAATACATATATATTAATAAAATTGCAGAGCATCATCTATGTGCTAAATCTGAGCACCTGTGTTCACCCATGAATACAGCAGTACAGAGAAATGAAGCACAAGCCCTTCAAGGCTTGAGAAAATCACCCCTGAACAGGCAGTGACCCATGGTGAGCTGAAACCTGAATGAACTCAGACCCCAGAGTGGCTCACATGAGCACCCCAGGTCAGTGTCTTGCCAGGACAGTCACTTTACATATGAGTTAGTTTACAAAGTCCTTGCTTTTAAAATAGCTTTTAAAATATTGGAATGAAATAAAATGAAAGCAATTTTTTTCAGTTTAGATAGGCAAACTAATTTTTTCAAATAGATAGTCATTTATCCAGTATGCAAAGATTCACCCCAGAGAGACTTTTAAAGACATTTGTACATAAAAAAAGCACCTGCACTTTTTAGCTTATAAGCAAAAAGACTTTAAATCTATCATATATTTGCATGTTTTACCAGCTAATAGATTTACTTACCAATATTCAGGATAGATGGCATTGTGGCTTAGTTTCCACTGCCCTATGCCATACTTTCTTTAAAGGGACTTAATTACATACCAACTTAATTATTAAAATCACATGCTGCTTCTTTCACAAGGTCTAAAAGGCAAGTGCATTATGCTGAAAAGTTAGACAGAAAACCTCTTTTCCTAAAGCTTTGTGCTATAAAGGATATTAGAGTAAGCAAGGTTTATGATATTAAAGAGAAAAGCGCTTTCCATTTTCCTAAGCAATTAAGAGATGGGAATTTAACATGCATTACTATTTTATTGGGAGGAGTTAGGCTCCACGTTGATGGGACAAATAGTTTCTTGAAGTGTTTTTCATACAGAACATGAGAAGAAATCAGCCCTGTGAATCTCCAGAGAGGTTTTGGATATGGTATCAGTTACACGAGTACAAATCCTGTTGTTTCAGTGGGAATATTCTGGAATTACAGCAATAAGGCCAAGGAGCTTTGCTTGTGTTCTGTATGAAAAAATAAATCACATCTGTTTGATAAACTTGTATGCCTTTATGGGGGAAAAATACAACTTACCGTACTGAATGATATGTGTACTTTTATAACATTAAGCAGAAGGGAAAAAAAACCCCACTGAACAGAGGGGAAAAACAAGAGCTTAGGAAAATAAGGTAGAAAGCACCCACCTTCCACATAGTTGTCTTCTGTAAGCACATAACAGGGAAGGAGAGAAAAGGAAAACATTCATTAAGCAGCATGCAGACTGGAACTTGCCATTGCATGTCTTTATCATGCAAGGCATCAAACACAACATGCAAGTGCTCCATTGCTACAATCCAGAGGGAAAAACAAAAGCACCAGGGAAGCAGTGTTTCCTCTACTTAACAAAATGTATGTGATATGAAACAAAATACTCTTGCCAAAGTGCAAATATTGTACAGGATTTAGTGCAGCTCTTTGTCCATGCAACTATTATTATTGTTAGTTATTAATCAGGGGGTCTTCTTGTAAGACTTTTGTAACTATGTATTTTAAAACCACCAGTCATTTGTGATAGGGATTCTAA